TAACAAGAAATTCTTATATATTATGTGGCTCTATTCCTTTGTGATGAGTTGATATTAATCTGTTACTGTATTCAGATGAGTTTCTGTTATATTCTAATGATTAGTTGCTTAGGTGGGGTTCAAGAACAAGGAGATTACAACTGAGAGATTGAGATTTATTTTCTGTACACGTTACAACTAGAGGGACTCACTTACAATTAGTTTTTAAAACTAGATTTCTAATCTTTTGTCGTGAGTTTGTTTGCCCTTTCTTCTCCTAAGGCTCAACCCATTGGAAACGGGCGGTTATAGATCGGCATAGGCATATCATAGATTTTATTATTTCATTTATTTTGCTAAATATTTGAAAAATCAGATATGGTTGCTATTGTGATCTATGACTTCAGAGTCTACGTAAAAGACGATTTCAAACATTTTTTATTTTTTATTACAAAATTTTGTTACGAAATTATGAACAGCTTTTATTAATGATATACTCGTACTTGTAACCGACTCAAAAAGAGTTCTTTTTTATGCAGTGAAGTATTTTGACGCTTTGCCGAGCGTCTTAAAAATACTCTCGTAGCTAAAATTGCATATCTTTATTACTCATTATAATTTTATTACTCAGGAAACGTAAGGAATACTTGGTTATCTTCAGAGTCTCATCAATTAGATATTTTATATCTTTATTTCTTATGTAGATGCCCATTATTTCTTTATTTCAATGATTTAATTGTTAAATCGCACAAGACAATAACAATTCTTATAACAATGACGGCAAGTATACTTATTTAATTATTTACACCTTTTTAAGGAGTATAATTGTAATATTCAATGGATCCGTAATTCTCTGCAACCCACATTGCAACAGAATATACATAATCATGCCTCTCTTATTCCGTGAAAAATTACATAAGACTGACACACAAAGCACAATTAAAACCTTTAGTACCTTTAAATAACCTTGAAAAGTGAGGGAGTTCACTTCAAAGTCTGTTGGAATGTCATTAATATAACAATACCACAATATTCTACCTACAATGTAATCAATAGATCTTATCTCAAAGGTGTTAAGTTTAAAATTAATTAGCAAACCTTTTTCAAAGGGTACATTTAAGTTTGTTATGTTATAATGGTGCAAATCAGTTGTCGTGATCATAGTCTTACAATGTCGTGCATTGAATGCGTATACTCGTCTATTACGGATTAAAACTGGGCTTATTAATAATTGGAAGAAATTATACTTGCAACGTTTTTCTAGGTTTTTTAATTCCTTGAGAATTAAGATTAAGAAAATTGCTGGACACAAGTAATAGGACGGTTACAATAATAACTCTGGAAAATACTTATTTACCTGGCTTTGAGTTATCATATGTAAACTTACGTATGTTGTCATATTGGTGGACGGGCCTGTTGCTGTGCCATAGTGGTTGGTGATCCTAACTGCAAAGCTAGAGGGTTTGATTCCCACCCAGGACAAATAATAGTGTGAGCACGATCATTTGTTCTGTGACTGGGTGTAATTTATCTATAATATGTATACGTCTAAAGCTATATAAGTAAGTTTATCAGTAGTCTGGTTTCCATAGACAGGGTCTGCCTAGTTTGGAAGCAGATGGCCCTCAGTGAGATGTGAGAATTTATTATTTTTATATTGATGTAAAATCCCCCTTTAGAAACATACACGCAAGAGCCACAAAGAATTTTTTAACAACTGTTTGTCAGTATGTGTCACTCACTCACACAAAGTTCTCTCTCTTGTTCGGATACGGGGATTAGGCGAGGCTATCACTCATACCGTCTGAGAAGTCGATATAATACATCCTTACATACATTTAAGTCTGTATCCAAGAAGGGGTAGGCTTATTTAACACTCACATTGTGTTTAATATAATTTGATCCTCCATATTTTTTTATTTTTCAGAAAGGCTCCTGCATCAGGAATATATCGCGTGTCGCGGGGGACTTTACAAACATACATGAAACGGACACAAAGAACACCCAGACTCAGAACAACAATTTTTGGATCACACAAAGTGTCGTCCCATGTCGGTATTCATTTAAATTAATGTTCAACACCTAACGGAATGTAGTCTTTGGTATAATGAACGTAATATAAGGCTGAATAGCTTGCAGGTGACATCTGGGGCGTTATACTATGGGGATCTTGTGTCAACTAGGGTGAATTTCAGTGCATTTAGGCGATTCTGGCATACATATTATAGAAATCAAATATAGCTCACTTAGGACCCATAATATTTTGTGGCCGTGGTGCTTCCCTGTTTAAAAGGGTATACGCTTATTTTACTTCATTTTGTCTTCCAATTTGCTAAGGAGGGAAGTGAATTTATTGTATTTCCAACTCCTCCAATTTTCTTCTGATTAATTTCGTTGCGGGTTCCAAGACAGTTTAATTTTTTTCATGGGACTTCCCAAGTGTTATAGCTCGGTGTGATCGTGGGTCACTGCTGTTGATCCTAGTGTACAGGAGTTCCAGTGGTGGGCGTATGGGAGGGATCAGTCCCATTTTAATAATGCCGGCACTGAACCTACAACACTCAGCGTAGTGGGACTGCTTAAACCCCTATCCCTTCCATTAATTTGGTACACGTGTTTTAAGGAGCAAGCCTATCGTCATCAGTCGGGTATTTTGGGGATTAAAATGGAAAAATTTCATGAAGACAAAAGTAGGGGAAGTGATAGCATTTATACAGCTTGGGAAATGAAAGCTATAACACTAAAAGAATAGAGTCCCTCATATGTAACTGGGTTTATTATGTCTCAGGATCGATAGCACTTTATTATATATCAGGATTTTATTATTATTATCTTATACACGTGGGTATAACACAGTGAATACTGGTACTTAGCTTAAATTGATTTGATTGTTCAGAAAGGGACTGTTGGTAATCTCTGCTTGGTTTAACCATACATAATAATACTAGGTGTTAAAGTACTAATATAAATGTTCATTTTTTCGATATTCTTCTGTTTTTATAAGCAGGAATGATGTTTGTTTGAATATCATGATAATGGTTACTGTATAAAAATTTCTTAAGCATATGTAATAATATACAATTGTACTACTAATGAACTACTTTTCTTTACTTAGCAAACTAGTTTATTTCTTATGTGGACAGTCTTTAAAAGTACAAATTACGAAAAATATAATTTTAAACACCAGAGGTTTTTAGAAGATATTATAGCCTAAATATTCCTTACGATTTAGCGTTTTCGTTCTCAGATGTCTTTGCTGATCTGATTTTTGTTATTGGTTCCTTTCCCCTCTAAATAACCATATTAAAGAAAACATATCTCCAGTTATAATGTATTATTAGACTTTTTCAAATTACCGATCCGTTTTCTCCTCTTCCTTCTGTACTGCCATTAAGGATCCTAAGCTAATAAATGCTCCTAAGAGGAATTTAACCTAGTACCTTTAGATCGCACCATCAAGTCAACGAGCAAGTTCTATCAGTCTTATTTTATTATCCAATAAAATGGTCGTACCATATTTTATAACTTACAACATTACCGACAGTGTCGGTACTTAATAAATGTTACTTCATGCTTTAATTAAATACGTTAACTTATCGTTTTATGATAAAGAAGAAACATTATACTCGTACTTATCTAATTATTACTTGTTACATGAAAACTTACTTTAAGACCGACAATGTTATGTGAAATTTTGGCGTTCTTAGTGAGTAGGTGCTACTCTTAATTGTACAATAAAACACAGCATAGAGCAACTTAGGTCACCGGCGGACCAGACCGTGTTGCTCGATGCAACACAGTGGCGTATTGGTTGTGTTTTTGTAACTAACTTGACTTGACCGAGTCTAGTAAGGAGTACGGCTTCGCGGCATAGGGAGTTGATACGGAAACTGCAGGAGTTTTGTCATTGGAGACGCCTCAACAAACGCCACGACAGGATCATCACCTGGTCAAATAAAGCGATAAAAAACAAAGTGAAAAAAGACAAAGTTTGGTTTAAAAATGGTCTGAGTTCAAACGGGTCGTTACTTCTAGTAATTTCTATAATTAAGAAGTGCTAAAATGTCCTCTCATTGCATTATTACTCTATAAATCTACAAAAAACAATAGTAAATTAAAATGACAGAACAATCACGATTTACTTGTTTTAAGTAAAAATTACATCACTAATATATTTCTGCATAAACATCTTAACGGGGTTAAGAACAAGTTTCCTTCAAGGGCATTATTAAATCGGCCCACAAACGCCGGTTCTTTTGAGTCTTTGAGTTAATGCAGGTAATCCATTTAGCGATTAGTGACGGGTAAGACCTAGACACCTACATACCTAAGGATCTGTCAAGGTCTTTGGAGGACTACATTTATATTGTGATTATGTCCACGGCACGTAGGATGCTTTGTTTGGTTCTCAGGTGAGTGAAGTAGACTAGTCTATAAAATGAGTTTATATTTCTTTTAAATTTAAAATCGAAAATACTCTGATTTTTTAAATTATTTTTTAAACTTGATTACTTAATTATTTTAGGTTATAGATTTCGACAACAACTTACGACTTGTGGAAGCGGAGTAGCGCCTATAACATACAATGATTTTATATATAAAACGGATTAAAAAAGAAACTAATGCAGAAATTCGTTAGTTGAAATAATATAATCATCATATTTGTTCCATTTTAACTATTTTATTTAAATAGCATCATCATCATCATTTATGTAGCATCCTTCTTTCTTTCTTTTAAAAGACAACTCCTGAAGGTCTAGGTCCTAGGTCCTGTGTCTCGTGGGATTTTACAAACATACATGAAACGGACACAAAGAACACCCAGACTCAGAACAACAATTTGTAGATCACACAAAGTGTCGTCCCATGTGGGGATAGAACCCACAACACTCAGCGTAGTAGTAAGCGGCGTAGCGACCGCATAAACCACTACGCCATCCGTGCAGTCAAATCGTGCATCGTAAGATAAGGCTGGTAGATTTCATGTCCGCCTGTCTACTTAACGTCAACCTTCCTCTGAAATGGAATCGGTAGACGGGCCATCTGAACACCAGCTACTTGGTCTCAAGCGCCTTGCCGCCCTAGGAGTTGGAAGTTTGAAGTGTGAGAAGAATATTTTGAGGTCCACAGATTGGTTGGATAAATTAAGTAAATTGGGATTGATGAGTATGGGATATCGCAATTTTCAGATGGGAAAGAAGTCTGAGGAGATCGCAGTACGACGAAGAGGCCGAGTTGGGGTCGAGAAGGTTTCATAAATCAGGTGTAATGTGACTTTACAAGTTTTAATACTAGTCTAAATATGATTGGAGTCCGTTTTTGTAAACTGGAAAACCTTAAAAAAAAACCCTATGAATCATTTCGTTAGAGTACATGCGCTCGTGCGCATGCGGAACCGCGCCTCAAGCATGCGCACGAGCATGTTTCACGTAATAGGAACACGTAGCAGTAGGAACAGGAATACAAAGTGGTGCTTATACGACACGGTGTGTTTCCACTTCTAATATCGAACATGATTTATTGATGCGATTGTGAGTCCTATTTTAGCCTTCCATGGATTCACCGTGTTGGTGCCGTGTTCTTCGTGATAGATGGGGGCAACGCATGCATGCGACTGTGGCGTCCTAATGGTAAGTAATTATGGGTGCCTTCAAACAATACCTTGATGTTCAAGGTGTCAGAAGTGAGCTGTAATTATTTACAAACCTATAAATGACTGGTACTCCTACAGATACAATGTAGTACGCTAGGAATGTTAGTTTGTACCTATTCTGAAGGCTTGAATTTGAGTTAAAATGTATCGTTGGGCATTATGCTTGAGTACTGTTAGTTTTACATGTGTTACTATAAGGCAGACCGGGAACTTGGTTGTGAAATTAAAGTCACCTTGATTACAATATTAATCAATCAATAATTTAATACTTCAAATAAATACCTATACATTTTTTAATAAATTGTCTCGTACCTTTGTGAACATCTATACTTACATTATTAATGAAAGCCTAGTACACTAAACCGATTTCTTTCACCAATGGAAAGCTACATTATCAGCGACTAACAAAAGATACTTTTTACTGCGATTATTGACATACGCATCAGCTAGAAGCTTAATTAATGTTACCAATATTCAAGCTTATTTTGATGATTATGTTGTGTGAGAATTAAGAGTACGAAGTTTCACCACCCCTGTTCATACCATGGGTGTCGTAAGAGCCGACTAAGGGAGCAAACTACGCAGAACGACAGCATTGCAAAGAGAAGGAAAACTCTAAGCCTGGCCAGCGTAGTACGAGTATAGTAGGTCAAAACCTCCTTTCTAAGGAGAGGCCTATGTCCAGCAGTGGACTGTTGAAGGCTGTTGATGATGTTACTTAAAATTTTATTCCGGTTATTATATCAAGACTCTTCATACTAATTACCTAAAGTTTAATTCATCACAGTCTTCTCTCTGCCGAAATATTAGCTATATCGATAAATTGTCAAAAAATTTAAGAGATTTTTTTAATATTTTTCATATCAAACATAACATTTTTTTTGTTTCCCATTTCCAGTGCCTTGCGTTATATTCGCGGTCTCAAAACTCTCTGTAATACCTTGTATAGTTCCAGTTGAAATAGTAGGGCGACAATAATATTCGTAAAACAATGGACATCTCCCTTGAGCAATTGGCAGCTACGCAAATTAGCAATTGTCACCGAGTGTGATTCACCAATAGTTTTATTCAAGAAATATTAATTGCATCTGACCTTGTCTACTGCATGCAAATGCAATGTTCAAAGTGTCATGTCTGGCTTCGGCTTACACGTGGATCCGCTTCAGGCCTGTCAATCTAAAATAGAAGCAATGACACATTTGTATTTAATTATGTATGAATTGTATTATGAAACGTGCACAGATTGATTTATTATAATAGCGCTTACTGAATTAAGCAACAAGTAAGCATTAATTAATGTACATTCAATAATAATAAATTATAATACTTACGTTCTTTAATTGTCAGTATGACTGTAAGTAGTAATGAGGATCAGCAATTGGTTTTTCAAATAAAGTTCTTCAAGTTGGTTGATGTAAATCTGTTATCCGATGATTATGGAATAATAACTCGTGACACAGTTTGATGTTGCTAGCTTCCACAATTCAATAGTTAATTTCATGTACGGTGATAGGATGCAGAAGATCGGCAAAATGCAACACAGTCGCTCAATCATGTGGTTGTGACGTAGTGATTCAAATAATGAAGTTATTAAAATACCATATTATATCTAATATTAACGGCAGTCCTAAATTTAAATTCGTTCCCTTAAGAAGGGAAATTCAATTCTAAAAACAAATAAGTTGCTCTAGAGTTTAATAAGTTTGTTTCACCTGTAAAGTTCTCAATAATAACGACTTGAGGTATACAAAGTAAGTGTGAAGCTTTCTATTTGTATTCTGCATATTATTAACTAATAAATAATACAACGGCCTTCCAAAGACAACCAGAACGGCAACTATTCACACATAACAGTTACTAGCGGTCGCTGTTGTTATTAGCATTATAACTATCTGCAAGTCCAAATATGGAGGCGGACCAACTAGCCTAATCGACTGGTTATGGAGGCTATTGTAAAACGCAATATAGAGTACAAGTAGAGATCCCAACTTTAAATACTCTATTGGGATAATTTATATATTAGTATCGGTTGTTTCGGAAAACAACACTACTCTGTTGTACTGTTTTTATAAACAAGTTTTAACTATTGTAATGACAATTAAGTATACCATTTATTTTGTAGTGTCATGAGTAAATGTCCTATCTTTGTCCTATCTGTGATCTTTGACTCTGTTCTGTTACTGAGGATAGTTTAATAGAAAACACCTACTGACAAGTTCCTTGACTCGCGAATTCTCAACACAGTTTGAACGGTAATAAGGGAGTAATCAGTTACCAACAAAAAAAATACATCCAAAAAACGCATTTTAATACACTAAAAGTTACTGAAAGTAATCATTTATTGCGTCATTGAAACAAAGGGTTTTGCAAATATTAGAGTGTTAGTAAACTGTTCATAGGTAAAGTTGGTTTTTAACGACACAAAGCCCTGGTCACCTTACAATCGAGCTAGTTCAATGTTAAAGTGAAATTACCCGTGGATATTTATTGTTACCAAAACGGTCTGCAAAAGTAAGTAACGTTATGGTCTATTCCTTACCGGGATCAGTAGATATCAAATCAATAATTAATGAATTGAATTAGCCGTGAAGGCCATTGAGTTGAATATAGTTAAGTTGTCCTTTGAGTCACTAGAAAGATTTAATGTCTGGTAATTAATTCATGAATAAGTTAAGTATTCAACAAGTGAAGAGATTACAAGGAATACGAAACTAAATCCTAATAAGTATTTGGGCTATATTGAAGTCAGGTTTATTTTGAAGAACTGGTGTTATCCTTCTAATACAAAGGGAGGTTCCACTGACCATGTAGACATGGAAATTATAGCTTATTTTAAATCACATTCTTTTGATGAAATGATTGGTTTTAGTCACAGCGATTTCACATGTGATTGTGATTGCGTCATAAACTAAGATAGGATAGGAATATAGGATTTTCCTAATACAATATTGCAAAGATTTAGAAATTTTGTTGTTTTTGTTACATCACTGTACACTTCACAAAATGGCAAGTAGTACCTACCATTCCTGTCAATTTTATCATTTAATTTCAGATCATAACCCAAGATAAATTCAGTAAATAGACACAGATTGTACGTATTTCGATAAAATTATCAAAAGATATAAATCATATCAAATGTTACAGCGTGTTTTGAATCAGCACCAACTGTGCTGCAAACCAATCAGATTTCTATCATAGCTAGATACACGACCGAAATCACTTGATCTTCCACCCCTTGAAGTAACAAAACTATTAAATTACAAATGGAGGTTGCATTACCGCCACTGGTGGGTCTAACTTAACTGGGTACGTTAACTGATTTCCTGTCAAGTATAATCAAGTTATTTGTGTCGCCATGGTCGTTTGCGACAAGGCCCTAACGGATATTCCTGATTTGGTCATAACCAAATGCCGTTTGTTTAGATAAAACTATTTATAGAAATGTAAGAGATAGCCATATGTGCTACCTGTAATTAGTTCGTATTTGATTTATGGAGATGTCTGACGCCAATTATAAATGATTTATGATTGTGTCTTTATCTTTTTTAATATTTATTTATTTATTAGGTTAACTCATAGGATATATATGTCACATTTATGGTAAAATCTAAGTACTAAGGTTCTGATATACATGCCACTTACGAGCTAACATAGCATTCACAAAATCACATTGATATATAGGTATTACAAACTTAACTTAACACTATTGGTCTGGTGAGTTTAGTGGTTGCAGTAACGATATACGAATATGTTACCTACGTGATGAAACACACTTTTCTTTTTGAAAAGTTTATCCAATATTAAAATAATTTTTCAATTCGAACCAGCAGTTCCTGAGATACGCGTTTAAAAAATAACAAACAAAATCTTCAGCTTTATAATATTGGGGTATTTTTTTTACATTTTTTTTTTATACCGAAATGTATTTAATATCTGTATAATTAATACTTCAATGGTGTACAATAAAAAGATAAATATATAGTAAAGGAGCTGGTGTAATGTCCTTCCAACACCAATGCTCCATCAGGTGATCATACCAAACAGGACGCGACTCAATGATTGATGTCGGGAAGTTGTACAAATACAAATCGGCCTCAGAACATTAGTACCGCGATGCAGGATTAGTATTACTCCGAAATTCAGCGTGTCTTCGATAGATGGTATCAAGGTATGTTTTTCGCTGTACTCCAAGAAGGAGTGTATCAAACATCAACATTTGTAATTTGGTGTCACTCACGTAATAGAGGCCAGTCTGTTGTCGTCTATCTAAGATAAATGTATAAATAGAGATGAGAAAATTTGGGAAATATTGAGAACAGAAATATAGATACAGCAAATATAGAGAAGAGGGGAAGACAATAGAAGATTAAGATTATGTGTAACTGCAAATGGTAATTGCTAGAAAGTATGATCCCTAAACTACTTCGTTTCATTGATACGCTATGCTCCTGGTGTCGATCAAGCACCTGCTGTAATCCACTGTCACATAAATTATCGCAAATGCATTATCTTTGGGAGCCACGCTGCGGCACATGTAGCCTCCCCGACCGGAGTGATACCACAGCCTCACAGAAAATAACAGGGCCGGTTTAACCCTTAGGCAGA